GATTTGAAGTTTTATTCCACGTGAAATGAAGTGAGGAGGGAATGGCAATGAACTGAGGAGGGACAATTCTTGTTAGGAAAAAATACTTACATATTTTCCCCAATTATAATATTTTCTCTCAAGTATTATTATACTAACTGCAGTCACAAACCTAGTATTGAATAGCATTAGTGATCTCTCTGCTGCACCGATACGCGCTGCTTAAGATGTACATCGGTGCCTCTGCCGTGCATCTTATTCTGTGTTCAATTTCCCTCACGTACTGTATCTTCGCCATAATATAAAAGATCTTAAGCACTGCCTGGTGCTGAGAAACCACAAAGTGTATCAAACTCAAATTGAGATTATTTATGAATATTATGAATGATCTCCCTTTCAGACTGATTTAAATTGGTCTTAACATCCATCATTTCATGGAGGCTTTTATGCAAAGCACTTAATATCACCGCAAGTGCACAGAACACATAACACCCAACACCTACCCATTACATGAAACGTATTAAATGCATGAATAAACATCATTTATTTTACAAAAATGTGCCTGTGAAAGGAGCTAATTCAAGTTTGATAATAACTCTTTACTGGCTGTTTTGTCGTGCTTTGGAGAGGACACTGTACAGACGGCTAATCTAGACCTATTATGCTTTTCCACATTTTATGACTTATCTACAATGTTGGATGTTCATGTTAAACTTGGCCAAAGCTTCAAATAATGAGGTTAAAGTATTTAAAAGAAATCCCTGTGAGCAAAATCCTCAGATTTCCTCCTGTTCTGAACACTGTTTTGAACTGCTTTACCCGTTCTACGACACACTGAGCCGGTATTCCGTATATGGTCATTTGCTCCCACAGCAACGCTCAGCATTTGCTTAGTCTGTCTGTACCCCTCAACGACACCACCACCCTGGTAACATGCTTCAGGTCTTGGCCAATCAGAAGACAGTGGGCTTTGAGGGGGGGGGCCTTAATGGCCTTAAAGGCCTACATGAAGAGACGGTATAAGACAGAATTATTATTTTTTAAACTTTGAATCATGCAAAGCTGCTATGAAAGGAGTCACAGAACTACAATATAGGACTGGAAAAGCAGTATAATAGGTCTCCTTTAACAGAAATGGAAATTGTGGCCTTTGACCCCCTAAAAATACTCATGTCTTATAATTTTACTAGTTAACTAAAAAGTCACCAACTACATCTCAAAAGTGTCGTCATTTTGTCTTATTTTTCGTCAGCTTTATCAGGATATGCCTTGGACTGGATCGGTCATTCCTCAAGACAGTAAGAGTGCAATGAGACCTCTCTATAGCCAGAGGAGTAGGGAAGACGGGCCATAAACCCAAGCATGCCAAGCTTTCTTCAGATCCGTGTACTCTGACAAAGCCAAGATTTGCAGACCCACTCCGGTTCGCCAGGTCAACATAACTTTATTCACTAGGAAATAAAATCATCTTTTTCAAGTTGTTTGACCCGAGTGGAGAGATCATTCAGGTTGTCCTCATTTGCTCCACACACTGTTCCAGTGAAACATGTTCTACCAATGTAGATAAGAAGCCCTCAAGTGCCATCTTCAATTTGAAATACATTTCTGCATGTTTGGTTATTTTTATAAAAAGATGCATCCACTGGTGGGTACTTAAGAGATAAAGAGGAGAAACCGACCGTACACCTTTTCTGTGGTGAAAAAAAACAGATGTTTCCTGGTAATTAAAGACTAACGTGTAGTATAAGAAAATATGTTTCCGTTTCAAAGTATACATAGTTATTCACAGTATAAGCAGTTGCGCAGTTAGTAAAAAAACAAAGACAGAAAAAGAACTGAACAGACCATAACGCACTCTTATTTCAGTGCAGTACTCACTGATTAATAAAGGGTTTGAACATCAGAACCCTGGCAGCATTAATGTAGACACAACACAACAACCTCAATGTGTCTCAGCACTGAGGAAACACGTGACAATAAAAAATTGGAGTTAAAAGGATTGGCAGTCCTGGCTTAACGGGAATCAATAAAAAACTGAAGCACTATTGCTGCTATAAATAGCCAAGCAGAACTATTACAAGGATTTGTTTGCTGCTGCTTGAAACTGGGGGAGGAACGAGAACGGAGGGGAAATGTAAGTGTTTGTTAACAAGACACATGCCTGTTAAGGTACTGGGTTACAATTCCAGTCACGTGTGACTTGCTCTGTCACAAAGGCAGAGTTCATACAGCTTTTTAAGAGTAAAATTCAAGCAGTTTTCAAGCACTTTTAAAAAAGGAACCCACACCCATCACATCTAAATTAATACGATAAATGTGATCGCAAAAAATAAAGTTAACAGAATTAATTTATACCCACAGCTATGAACTGTCACTTCATTTTACCAGCGGTCTATATTAACTTCGACTGTATGTTTTGATAATAATTATTTAATCCTTGCTTAATTTCCAGAGTAACGAATCAACAGGACTTATGTAGAGCATCAACAGGAATGTCATTATATACACACTAAAAATCTTACTTTAAACATATCTAAAATGTCATTAAAATAAATATCTTAATATTCCTGACATCAAAATACTGAGTGAAATTTAGAATGATTGAAGAACACAGACAGTATGACAAAAATATGGTGTTTTTTGAAAATTAAACCATGTAAACCTGTTCTGGTACAACCCCTAAATAAGATTTTGAACCTGAAAATGAGCATAATACCACCTCTTTAATAATATAATGTACACAGAGCAGTGGATACAAGTCGCCTCTATCCTGATTGACACATCGCCATGGTAGCGATATGTCAATCACAAGGTGGTCCCGCCCTAAAGCATGCGCTGCTTTCTGGTCCATTTCCCCCTAAATGGGACCATAACTTACTAAATGTTCATCATGCTGTGTTGAAGAAGATTTCAAACTAGCGACTGAGACCATACGTTCATTATGAAAGTGTTTATTGAGCTCAGTTGAGAAGTAGGATCAATTTGCCATTATTTGTAACGGAACTGGACTTCTTTTTGCAACCAGCGGACTCGCCCCCTGCTGGCCGTTAGAGGGAATGCAGGTTTAAGTTCCGTCTATATGGTTTTGCTTTTTTAGACCCAGAGGTTACCACTTGATTGAGATTAGAGAAACGACATTTGACAACCACTTGTCACGTCACTACAACACAGAATTGGACAACGTTGCGAAGCAACTGCAAGATATTGAGTTTCTAATGCAATTTTTTTTGTTGTCGTTACTTTTTACCGGCCCTGGGCCACCGTTATTGTCGAGCCCTGCACATACACACTCACTTGTTGATATACACGCATGCAAAGACTCAAAACAGCACATACCCAGAAACACATATAGAAGGTGGCCAAAAAAGCAGGAGCATCTTAAAATAAGAACCATGCAGAAAATAACTGAACAGGTTTTTAATGCTGGTACTTTGTTTTTCAGACTCTCACACACAAACAGGAAAGAAATGAGCAGTCCGTGTACCCTCAAAGAATGCACACATGAGCATCCACACTTCATGTAACTGCTGGCTGAATGTTACAGAATGAGGTTGGGGATATCGATCAATCAATCAATCTCAATGAAGAGCAGTGTTTCCTCCCATCCCATTACGGTCTATGTGACAGCAGTAGTCAATTGTGCTGGTCTCACACTGGCTGTTCAGATGTTTATATTTTTAATGATTGACTGTATACATTTAATTTAGATGACAGAAATAACCTTCAGAAGCCCCATTTAACCGCTAATACAATATCTACAATAAATGTAGAGAAATCGAATAATACACACTTGGCTTGCATTTATTGTTACTATTGCTACTCAAGAAAAAAAAATATCAGGGGTCTTATAGAGGTTTCATACAACCAGCTTTAAATACACCAAGGGCATTAATAGAGCGTAAAGACACACAATGGTTCTCAACGAATCTCAGAGGGAAAAAACAGAAAACGGCAGCAATAGAGCAGCTTTTACAAACTGAAAGCAGATAATTAAAAATCACACGCCAGTGATTAATTCCGCTGCGAACCAACTCTGCCGAAGAAATGTATTTCCACCACAGGAACTTTCCTTGGGGACTAAGAACCTTTTGAGGGATTTATCATGCATTTGAACCAGGGACAAATGCATGACAGATCAAAACACAGACAACTTCAAATTGTGTACCGCTTAATCCCAAGTTGAGGAGGGTGCAACTAGTATCGATATTAGAACAATCGATGGACATTTTTTGATGATTATGAATGTTAAAATCAAATTCAAGAAACAGAGAGGCAGAGGCAGTTGAATATGCAAAGTTCGTGAAGTAAAATTAAGTATTTGCTCACTGATAATTTATAAAAAACTACACTGGAATATTAGCCAAGCTGGCTAAACTGGCACATCTACAGACAAGGAAATCAGCTGAAATTACTGTTACTGAGGACAAAGACACGTCTTTCAACAGACTCTTGCTAACTTTCACAGCTAACCAACGATTCAACCTTCTGAGTAGGGCTGAACGATTTTGGAAAATAATCCAATATTGATTTCTTTTTTTTTTTTTTTTCCCCCAATATTGCGATTTAATACCAACACATTATTAGATAGACAGAACATACACTGTTCTTTCTTGTGGGTCAGGCCTGTGTTATCATGAATTAGATAGAAATGCTATTATGAGCAATGGTGGAGGAGATATCAAATTATAAGCGATCAATATAAAACCAACAGTTCGTCCTTATCTATTAATGCGTCCTTATCTCAGTTCAAATCTCCTAGGAGTCCATCTTTCTGTATCCCAGTAAGCAAACAAGAAATACTCAGTTTGAGGTTCAATTCAAAAGTGTCACCTCTCGTGTTTAATAGACAAGCTTAGTAATTCTCCAAAAAAAGAAAAAATGATTGGGTCAGACATTTTTCTACTTTCCTGCTGTGTTAATCGTCTCACTACACCTAAGATTGATCCTGTGACCACTTGTGGGGGGTCCTGACCCCAGGCTGGGAACCACCAGCATTATTGTTGGGACTAGTTTACACTTACATGTGAAGATGACCAAGACGGTGCGGAGCAACAGGTCGACAGCTCTCTCCCACCTCGCTGACACGCGAGCCAATACCGGTGGTATGAGAATCTCTGCTGGAACATAGAACTGCAGGGCGAACGTGATGAAAATACCAAAAGAGTACAGCAGCTTCACAGCCTGGTATGTCCTGGAAACAGTGATTGAGAAGAGGGTAAATTGACAGAGGAAGAAAAAGCGACAGAAATGTGAAAACAAAACCAAATCACCCTAAATTAGGTGTAATAAAGTTACAGCCAATTAACAATCATATTGAAATTCTTTTAGTGCACTGAAATGCAGCTAATCAAAACCTTTCATAAAATACAAACGAGCATCAACCTCAATTTTCAAGATCCATCAATAAACATATTAAAAGATGAAGACGAATCAATTAGCAGTCATTGTAAAACAAACTGCAAACAGTGACTATAACTTCTGCTCCTTTTTTTTTTTTTTTTTTTTTATATAAACGGAGATGCTGGTAATTATAGTCTTTGCGTTTTCAACCTCATTGAACAGCCAATCTTTTCCACTAATTAGCTGCATCAGTTTGAATCACAGGAGGGATTTCAAAAGTCTTCAATTGGATTTGTTTGCTTATTACTTGTTACTATCGTCATTGCAGCAGGAGTATTTGGGTTTTAGTACCTTTTTTAAAACCTAAAAAAGAAAATGCTGCAAGGGAGTTGTCAGTAAATTTAATTTGCTAACCTACATTTTATGCGATGTCTGGAGATTTGTGATTAGCTCACTGTCAGGAAGGACACTAGTAATAATCCGAGATGTTTGAATAGCCTTGTCTCGGTTTATGAAAAGTGTTATATTTATTGTTCTGAACACCTGGGGCAGGGGAGGCCTTTCCTGCCAAAAATTCTCAGGAAGTCAAAGAACTGTTTGCTGAGAATTGGGAGTTTGCATGGGCAGTGACAACCCATCACGGCTGAACAATAAAAGAAAACATCCACCTATACAAATTCACATCCTTTCTGTTAACCTTCTAGAGCACCCAAAGGACAAACCTTATCTGCTGGACCCGTTAATTCCCCCATTCCTCATAGTCTCTATATGCATGTAGTAAAAGATTAATAACTAAAGTGTGCTCTTCAAGACAAAACCTTGAGATTAGGTAATAAAGCAACCCCTGCTCTTTAATATTTTACTTGATTAAATTACCACACACACAAAGTCCGACTTCTCATCATCTGTCGATTTGAGAAAACCACGTTTTACAGGGGTCGTAAATGCAACTGCGGCTGCCAGGTCGCATGTTAGTGACGTTTGCTAGAGCTAAGGAAGCGTCTTGCCGGCCAGTGATCGGAGGTGTCTGGTAGGAAATTGGATTCTCGTGTAATTTTATAATTATTAATAGAGGCGTACAGTCGGGTTGGATTAACGGTAAAGCGTCGGCACAAATTCGCACGTGGACCCGTTTCTTTACTGGAGCTTCCGATGACTGACAGGCAAACTGACTGACTCTTTATTCACATGCGTTTCTCGCACTGCAAGTACCATTTCCTTTAGAGATTTAGAAGTGATTGAGTGCAACGATTTTGGGTTGAACTGAGTTACTTTGATCTGATGATTCTTTGTTGTGAAAAAAGCTGAACTAAACAAAGTATAACTATCCTAAAATGATTTAATGTGTGGGATTTTATTCAGGTTTTCCTAAATCATGTCATATTTTCTCTTGAGGGTGTATATACTGCCTTGTTCATTATTTGTGGGTGGGAATAACTCTGATGACTTGTGAGGTTAACCCTGGCTGGCGCCCAATTAACAATTAAATATCTAAGTTGTTGTAAAACCGCCACATCGTATAAACACGTACATTAGAGTAGTACAGTCACAATGGTTTTACTGGGTTTTGATACTTTACACTCCTTTTCATTTCTGTCAGACAATTGAAAGTGACTGAAGGAAATCTCATTCGTTGATAAAAGTCTGAATTAGATTACGAGAAGGAAACATCATACAAACAGCTTAAAAGTGTTTATTGATGGCAGCTTGAAAATTGCTGGTCCACTTCCCATTTGCTCTTGGTATAATGTAACAAGCATACGTCGCTCTGATGCCACTTCGAGAACACAGGAAAAGTGGGTAGGGGAGTAGCAACTGATTTAAATGAACACACCCGGGGTCTCATTTATAAAACTGCGTAGAAACCTCACTAAAAAAAGTGTACGTGTGCCCAAAAGTCAAAAATGGCGTACGCCAAAAAATATTCAGACTTATAAAACCGTGCATATGCACTAAGCAATGTTCCTTTTATAAATCACAATCAACTTGAAATGTGGCGCATGTGAGGGAGCTCCATGCCCGACCCTTTACACGCCTATAGTTGCCTATAAAAAGGTCAGTGAAACATCCCTCATTAATATTAATACAAAATGAAATTTAACTCAGTGACACTAACGTTCCTTTTGGTGAAACTGAAGTTGTTTGGTGGGTAAAAATAAATAAATAAATAAAAAAGACGCACTTTTGCGCAATGCTTGTGCACCGGAGGAAAGGGGGCACCGGAGCTCCACCCCTTTATAACCGATCTGCAAGGAGGGGCATCCCTCTTGATTAATGACGTCGCTGGCTGGAGGGGGACACACATCCGCAAGACGGGATGACCCAGGTACTAATTTGGATTGACTCGTTTGAAAAGAGAGTAAACCAAATGTGTTCCAGTTGTGTTTCAACATTTGTTTAGGCTACACAAACAGTCCACTCACTTAACGAGGCTGCCGATGAGTTAAAAGAACTATGACTTATTGTAAATTACATAAGCTGAAAGATTTGATTAATAAAATAACGCGTTTTTACAAGCAGCGGATCACATCCACATGCTGACGCGCAGCGTTTGACTCGATAAGGCAACGAACATGTGATAACAATATATGAAAGCTAACGATGATTTTAGTATTCAAAGCTTCTATAGATTATTTCAACGATTCATCAATGTGTCCTTTAAGAAGTACTTTTGCTTGGCGGCAGAGTCACAGGGTTTTGACGTCATTTTTGGGCCTACACGGATGGCCCTCCATGCAGGCTTTAGTTGGCTTCACTGTCCGATCTCTGGCTTACTTCCTTGGTTCACAGGTATCGCTCGACTGACGCACAGAAAACAGCAATTAATTAATTAATTAGATTCCTGATTAAACTGTACAACATATTTGATTCGACTGCAGAAACAGATGTCTCCATTTGTGTTTTTTATCCTAAATCTGGATCTTTTTGTGTGCTGCAAATGATCTTAAATTATGTTTTTTTGCGCACTTCAGGGAAAATCAAACGGGTCTGTAATACTCAGAGGTAATATTTCGATTTAACACAATAGTAGGCCTATTCATCGTTCATTCTTCTGCCATGTGAGTCGCCGTTTCTCATTTCTCCAGTTTATGTACGTCTGCATTGTTCCAGAGTTTGCGTGGAGGACCGCACATTTTCCCCCATCAAGTTTGTTTTTCGTAGATCACAACCTTTGCTTGGATTTTAATCTCACACACGTTTCCAGCCCTGTTTTGTCGTACGCACCGTTGATAAATTTGGGCCATTAGGGCAGAGGCCGTCATTTATAATGGATTGACCTCCAGTTATAGGCTTAGCGCTATAGTGCTTTTTAAAATTAGAAATACCTGCAGATTCATTTCAATGGAGGCAAAGTCGTCTTCTGGGATCTCACAAAGCTCAATTCAGTTCTTCGGACAAATGGAACGACATTTGTCTGAAGGGCAAGGGCTGAGGGGGAGTCACCGAGGGAATATTGACGGACCGATGTCTGTGAAGGTTCTCAGACATCCAGGTCATAGTTCTCCAAGGAAGGTTTAAGTCAAAGGCGACACCACTTGGTTAAATATACTGGAGGACATTTCGTCTCTCCTCCAAGAGACTTCTTCAGTTTTGACGGACTGGTAGGGAAACTCAACCACGGTCTTGTCTGGAGGTAGAGCGGGTTTTCAGTTCTTCTCAAGCTGGCCACTAGATGGCATTACAGGAACATTTTCTGCAACAGCTTTCTCAATTCCATCAAGATTCACCTATAATTCCACTGTGGTTTGGTTGATGTGAAGCTATTATTGGTTGAGCGCTCGCTTGTAGCCATTGCTAAAAACAAATTTAACTCCCCGTTGAGAAGTGCAAGTCTCTTGAATGTTCTCTGCAATCAAATTCTGCTCTCTTCTGGCTACCTGCTACAACACGTGAAGCCTGTTGCAAGAAATCTTGGCGTGTTATTCGATAATAAGTTATGCTTTGAGCATCATGAGCACAAAAAACCCTAAATAGGTTACAGACTGTACAGAACTCAGCTGCTCGACTCCTAACTAGATTGATTTTAAGATTTTACTCATTACTTTTAAGGGTATTCATGACTTGGCTCCTTAATATATTTTAGATATTTTAACTCCTTATGAGCCCTCCCGTGGTCTAAGATCAAGATGGCAAGGGCCTCTTGTCTGTTCCTGGAGCCAGACTAAGAACAAAAGGTGACCTAGCATTTGCTGTCAGGGCCCCGAGGCTCCGGAACGACTTGCCTGAGGAAATTAGGCTGGCAGGGTCGGCTTCTTCTTTCAAATCTCTTTTAAAAACTTACTTTTACCGGAGAGCATATCCAGATTTTATCTGAGCTGCCACTCGTTTTACTATTCCTGCCCTACCGTTCTTATCACTTTGTTTGCTTGTCTTATCTTCCTTACTTCCTACTGAACATATTTGTTATACTTTATTGTGATCCTTGTTCTTATATTCTGTATTTTATCCCACTGTATCTTTTACCCATGTGGTTATTTGTTTTTGTATTTTGTGTGATTTGTTGTGAAGCACTTTGTACTTTGTTTGATAAGTGCTATATAAATAAAGCTTATTATTATTATATTATTGAATGTTCATTCATAATTTCCGTTCATTAAAATTTCTGACAGTACGCAAAGTGTGTATGTGCCAACAAACGTGTGAACATGTCCGTGTATACCGACATCTAACGTAGTGTACAAAGCAGCATTTTTAGACTATATCAGCACCTTCAAAATAAAGATCGGGGTGGCTGAAGAAATCTAAAGCCTTTTGTTCTGCATGTTGAAAAAATAAAAAATAAAAGCATAAATAAATCCAGAATAGAGTCCCTGAATACAGTCCGCATGCTGTCCAACATTAAACCCTGCTGTTTAGGGTTTACGAACATCCATTTCCAGGGAATGTGTAGGTTTTCTTACCAGCAGTTTGGCAGGTTGAGAGTGATGCTCCCTCCTATGTGCTCTCCAAAGCACATATATCCTATGGTGCCGAGGCTGATATAGAGAAAGGTGACGATGCCCATCCCCAAATAAAGAACTGGGATGAAACTCTGTGGCTTCTGCATCTTGTTCTCCAGGGGAAGAACCTGCCAATCCAGAAAGACAAAGACACAGACAGACTGTTGATAGGACAATAGAACAAGATCAATGTATGATTTTTTTTTTTTTTTCCCCTCTCCTTACACATTTGAACAACTTTAGAGTCAATAATTACTTGAGGTTTTCAATTTTAAAATGTCACTTCTTCTGAGGCTGTGATGTCTTACTATGGATGTTATAATGATGGTAAATTTGAGATGACATTTCAGAAAAAGACACAGGCTCTTTTAAACTGCACTCAACATACTGAAAAAGTGTAATGTTCTCCCAGCACTCTGCATATGTTAACTGAAAACCAGTGAAAAATGCTTTTCTGATCAGAGCATTTCAAAGCACTGAAAAACAGCAAGAATTTTATATATATAAAAAATTCTTGCTGTTTTTCAGTATATATATATATATATATATATATATATATATATATATCACACATTTCTTCTTCTTGTTGACAGTGTCCCTGCCAACTGTCCTGTGTTGTTTAACACTATGTGGTTAAGTAAACCTGGGCAATTAAGTTCCTAACCAACTAACTTTGCTGTTTTCCAAAAGTCTTGAATCTGAACTTGGGAACTCTGAACATAATGTAATATGATCTGTTCTTCAGTTTTCAAAAATCAAGATGCTGTAAACCAGCTCGCTTTTGACACAAAAGCAACATGTATACCTCAAAGTGTAATTTATGTGAGGCTTCAGCCTTCTGTGGTGCATGCTAATGGCCACTTTGGACCACACATGATTATGAAAAACATCTTCATTTGTCAGGGGAAATCTTTTTGTCAACATAGCTTAATAATGCATGAACAGAGTGACAGATGACAAAGCTGCTTCACGTTATTAAGGATAATGGTTTAATATTACATAAGTACTAAATTAGGTATGGTTAAATCTCCTTTATGGATTGAATTCATAATATCCTTACATCCAGGCAAGTTCCGCCCGGATGTAAGTGATGAACATGTATTCATATATAGAATCATGCTATATTAATTTCAGATAACTTGCCATGACATGACATAAGCATCTTAAAAAGAGCTATATGCAACATTCACTGCCACTAAATGTCCCACTACAGCACCAACACCTCAGAACAAATCAAAACACAGACGTAGGGCTGTGCGATGTGACGATTTCTATCGCTCGACAATAGAAAAAAGGAGTATCGTTTACAATTATGCTCTTTTATTTCGTTGTGTCGCAAATTCCACATTTTACCGTAATATTTTGGTGAAGGAACGGCGTTTTGCATCGCGGTGAAGTCAGTTTTACTTTGGAATTATTACTTCAAACTAATATCCAGCTTGAAACTAACTTCACCGCGGTCCGTTCTTCCACACGTGCCGGTGCTGCAGGGAAGAAATTTGAAACTAGTCTTTAGTCTTTCCTCTGACAAACAAAAACAAACCAACTGGTTTAGCTGAAATCAATTCTTAATTCCCAGCGTTGCATGAGAAAAGCAACACTTCACAGAGAGACTCACTAGCTACCAAAACAAAGAACAGAGAAGCTTGGATGTGGCGTGATGTCATTCTCTGCTCAGGACGCCATTACACTACTACACACTCACATACAGAATATTAAAAAAAACATCAGCTCAACAAGTTTAAAAAAGGTCACCTAACCCTGCCTCTTGCTGCCATCTCTAGCTGCTTGGCAAGATGAAGCCTATCAGCAAAGGAAAAATGTAGAGCCTACACCGCAGCTTCGCCTCCTTTGACCTGAGATGCTCCATGTGTGATGTACACCAAGCCTGCCTGCTCCATTTGCATAATGAAATCAGATCCTAATGTGCGCATAATGGAGATAACACTGCTCATAATACCAGATGTAAATGAAAAGACCCTTGATCAGATGTCATAATCAAGATAATGTATACACATCCACATTTCATGTTAATACCAGATGTAATTGGGCTTGAACTGTTTAGATGTTAATGTGTTTTGCCCTTTCTTCAGCTTCGTCTAGTTATCACCAGTTGGTCACGTACCACTCCGATCCCTTCGAAGGCAAAGATGGCCGTCCCAAAGAAGAGAGGGTAGTCTTTTGCTCTGCCGACTTCAGGTAGGTTGATGGGGTATGTGATGTTCTGGAGGGAAAAAAAAGGAAGCGTGAATTAAACATCGACACTACATTCTGCGAGAATCATTTCATTTGAGATTAAAATCCAAGGCTTTGCTGAACGTTGACGTCCCACTGGATGATTTGTAATTATACAAATATCAGACTACTACATCTGCTCACATCTGCAGTCTAGCAGTCCATTTAGATAATTAGTAATCAAATTAAGTAATATCACTTTGTGCCACTTTGACACCACTCCTTGGTCTTGTTGGACTCGTTCGTTGGCCAATTAGGGTCTTTGATAAGTACCTGTGAAATATGCAGGTTAATATAAAAGGGAACAGGGAGAATAAAAGACAAAGTAGGCGATTAAACTCCACAATGTAGGACGATCCTGTGTTCGTGGCAGGTCCCCCAGTTGATGATCAAATGCATCAAATGCTGGGGAAGGATCAGTCGAGTCAACTGCTGGCAATGTCTTTGCTGCGATGAGGAAACCTTATAATTTCCCTTTGTATGGGCATATTTATATTTCTCTTAAATTGAAGGTCACCTGGATGAGCCAAAACCTCAAAAAAAAAAAAAAAAAAAAAAAAAAAAAAAAAAAAACATGATTTGGAGTCATTAAAAATTAAATTGGAGCAAGCATATAAAAGAACCACATTAATATTATCATTCATTCTGGAGTTAAAAGCAGAACTAAAATATCGAAAGGGCACCAAACCAAACCAACCAGCAAAAAGAAAGCGATTCCAGAAACTTTAGACTTTCAATGCTTATGGCCTTGATGATCTAGCTTTCACAAAATTCCCTGCTCAGTTGATTCATCAGCCACAGCTGCACCTTACCGGCCACATATATCTCTTCGTGCTGAATATCTGTAGGTTTTCTGATGCAAGAAATTGCTTTTTTTTCAAGGCAAGGCCGTATCTCTGGGAACACAACTGCTATATATCTGTAAAGGGCAGAAGCTGCATGATGAAATCCTCTATAACTGGGAAAACAGGTAATCTGGAGGCTCTGTCAATACCAGTTGCCCTGTTATTCATAACAGCCAAGTGACCTAATCAGTAGAGTAGAAACAAAGAGACAAAGAATCACATTAGAGCATTGCTTCAGATACAATTTAAAACCATATCCCATCAGGTTTCTGCAGGACAAACCTTACTTTTTGGCTCATCAGTATGTTTTCTTTTAAAGGGTGTGTTTTAAATGCGGACATGTGTATGACAAAAAGACAGACGAGGAAAAGTATCACTTTGGCGGCAGGACAACAAATAATCCTCACTACTCTGTCAGTTGATGTATGCAAATCAAATAAAAATCAAATGAATAAAAAGCTTTACATAAAGTGAAACTGAAAATAAATAAAAACTGATGTCCTGTGGCTGAAAAGTAGGATATTTGTAATACTTAACATGTTCACAGTGCCTGCTCTGTAGTTTAATTGGTAGGAGCAACAATTAAAACGACACATCACTTAAATTTCAAGTCATATTATTAGGCACATTATATTACTGTAAATTACTTTGCATATATAATAACTATAATAACTTTTTTTGCCTTATACAGCCCTTATATATAATTGCATGTTTATAATATGTGTGTATGGTGTCATGGCCAAAAATGTTATCACAATGAAACATTTTTACATCATTCAATAATTATCATGAATAACGTCCAATAACTATTTCTTTCAAGTTTAAAGGCTGAGTGAAAGTTGAAGAAACCAGGTGGTTAATTGTGGTTTTAAAAAAAACTTTTCTTTATGGTCCGAACATGACAAACACTTGATGCCAAACAGTGTGTCACTTAACAAATATGGAGGTAGAACATTCAAAAACAATTCATTTTTTAATATGCATGAGTAAAATTCAGTCCCTTTTCCTCAACAAAAGAAATATCTTAATAGAAAAACGAAGTGCTAATTTGTTCATGATTCAAATTAAATCAAACATTTGTTGAACATTTGTTATATTGTTATTGTGGAAAATAATATTGTGATAATTATCATATTGTTATTGTTTTACTGCCAAGCCCTACTTTCAGCCACTATATATTTTTCTGATTAGGAAAATGCTTAGTTGTTAAAAACAAAAACAATCAAAACAGGAGAATAAATATATTTTGATCCAGATTAGAGTAAATATTTTTCAGCAAAACATATTCATAATGATATAAATGTAGTCAGTTACAAGAGAGGCACAAACTGGGGCTAAAATATTATACGGTGAAATGCCCACCTAAATGTAAACGTGGAATCCTGGAGTACTCGGACTATTGAAGTGTCTGTAGAGTGGATGCATTACTTGGTTTCTTGCCGTATTTAGTAACCTACTGTTAGAAATCTGCATTACTGTGTGCACTTAAACAAAATCAAGGTGAAAACGGCAGAGCTGAGAATCAGCACAGAGGGCAGAAAGTCGTCGCTGAATTAATGATGGTTTAACAAAACAGATCAGAAAGAGAGAGGCGAGATAACTAGTGTTTACCGTGAGCGAGTAGAAGTAGATGAGGATCAAGCTGGCGGTCATGACGAGGTTTGCGACCAGAGAGAGGGGAGCCAGGTACTTCAGGTTGGGGGTGAAAACCAGCAGGATGAAGAAAGGCAGGAAGCAGAGCATGTAGAGACGCGAGTCGAAGCTCGGCACCAGGATCTGGGTCTGGTTGGTGTAGTTCATTTGGCAGCTGAAGGTGGTGGCGTTGGCTGCTTCTACCACCTGGTAAAGCAGGGGTGGAGGGGAGCACAAACAATTTAGTCGGGTTATAAATGAGAAAAGGAAGGAAAAACTTACACCGCTTATTTTTTCTGACCTACAGTCAAACACACCAAGTAATTTCTTTAACTTACTATAACATAAAAACAGAGAAGAACAGACAAGTTATCCTCAGCAAACGCTTTGTGTGTTTACTGAAGATATCAAGTTTCTATCGAAGTTCTTATCATTCAACTAAGCATTTCAAGAACACTAATTAGTTCACAGCATTACAAACAGGTTTGGAAGAAGAACAGGACAGTGAACAAACTCCCAAAAGAGTTTGGCTGTTCTGATGAAATGTACTCAGCATTCTGCCTGGTAAGGTTGATGCGACGACGGCTGTGGAAAGGAAACCACTTTAGTAGACAGACATCGCCATCTAGTGTTAAGAAACTGTACTACACAAATAAACTCTAACCAGGACCACACTTTACTGTAATGGGCAGAATTTAGGGACCAAATACAATGCAGAAAGTGTTTCAAAGTTGTTTACAATGACAACTGCCCAGTGTGCTTTATGCATTATGCAAATACACACAATGCAAACTACACTGTACTCCGCGCACACACACCACAATGGTTTAAAATGCAGGTGCTAGTCTTAAATCACAGGTCAGAAGTTTCTCTTTTAGGCATTTAATAAGTGTGACTTTCAGTGAGGTTAACAGTTAAGTTCCCAGATCTCCAACTCCAACCATAATATGAAGATAAGAATAACCCTTGGGTGAAATACAATTCTTTCACTCCATTATTATTTTCAACACACATAGGACTGAAATACACACAGAACCCATACACATGCAGTTACTGGGGAGAGATGTTAAGAGTGATGCGGCTGCCACGTACAGGCGCCTCGAGCAGTTTGGGGTTCGTTGGCGTCAATAAATGGTAATAAAGGTCAACAGTCAAAGGTCACAAGAATCTGATAACACAACAGCCATTTAGAGAAACTCTTGGGTGTCATGAAGTCAAAACTTCCATGAGATTTGTATCAAACTTTCAAAAATTAGTCAATTATTTAAACGTCTTTCAGTGGTTTCTTCTGAATATCTGAGTTTTTTAGTTGCAGAAACTCTAACTTTTACACTCAAGAGAATTTAAAAATATCATAAATCAGAAGCTTGACAAAGTTGACTATATACAAATTTTCTTATACATATTTACTTATTGAAGATTTTGTAATAACAAACTAGAATAAAGTTCCTAAATTCTCTGTATTTGGGTTTGTTTCTATTTCCATCTAATGTCGTAGAATTGTATTTGTAGCGTTACCAGTGCATGCTGTTGCATTTACAACAATTATTAGTCGTTTTTTTGTGTTTATTCAAACTTATTCTGTTAAAGCTGGTGCATGTAAATCCCATCTCCCGGCTGTTACGGAAATCAATCTTGTGACGTAGGTGTAAACTTTGAGCATACACTGAAAACTGAAACTAAGTGAGTCCATGCACACACAGCACATGGGCACTTACATAACTATGGTAACTGCCATAAACAAAAGCATAACAATGACAATCCTGACAGGTATTTCATAATCACATCATTCGTTGTAAGTACACTGTCTCCTCTAGGATCCCCCCCCCCCATTTCAAGTTTAGGAAAACTGTCAAGTTAATGCCTTGAAAGTGACGAGTGAATGTGTGATCAGGACCTGCTTGATATTGTCACTGAGGAAGACGAAGTAGACGCAGCAGAAGCCCAGCTGGGTGATGATTAGAAACAAGTTCACCGTCTGTCTGAGAGAGAGAGAGAGAGAGAGAGAGAGAGAGAGGTCAGGCAAAGGGTAAAAATGCTTATACAGTAAATATCAGGTCATGCTTATACAGTAAATACTGAGCCTGGGATATCACTATGCACTCATGAATTAGGTTCATGATGTCATGGTCCGGCTGTACCTTTCTCTCATGTTTTTTTGTTTTCCTGTTCGTGTCTCTCTTGCCTGTGCTCGTCTGTCTGGGAGTGGCGTTCTACTTCTGTGCCACGGCCAACCGCCTCTACATACCTGCAACTCATTCCACTAATCAAGACTCTGCAGTATTTCTACCCCGGCTCTTCACCAGATTGTTCCGTTTTGTATGTCCGTGTGATAATTACGTCATGGCCAAGTCTTCATGTATTTTTGGACTTCTGGCTCATTTTGCGTTTCCCCTGTGTTCAGGTTCACTCCACTGCTGCGTTTGACCTGCCTCACTCACTGCAACACCAGACCAGCGACTAACCTCCCGGATCTGCCCAAGCTGCCTGCCTTGCTCTCTGCCACGCAGTGAATTCATTCAACCATGTGTTTAAACTGCAATTAACAACTGTTGAGTTTTGCATTTGGGTCCAGATTTGTGTGTCTCATCCGAGCCTTTAAATTTGGCTGTATTCATGGCAACGCTTCATTTTATGGATCTGTATATTTCTGAATAATTTTCTATAAAACCAAAAAAAACATGTTATTTCGCACAAGTTATATAAAAGTGACTAACCCTGGACTCACGCAGGCGGCCTGCGCTGCGCTTCATGTCTGCGCCGCTGTTTTGATCCGTCCTCTGCCCGGCGTCAACTCACGCTGGAAGTGTTTCAGCAGCGGAGCGTCTAGCTTGCCCCATGTTGTCTGCTTGTTAATTTGTCCTATTTTGTGCTTAAGCCAATCAATAACAGCTTGCTATAAACCGGTTTTGTTTCATTCTCTGCGCAGTTTCATGGCCCACGTGGAGTATTTCAGAACCAAAGCGTTTTGCCTGAATCATTTTGTTGACATGCTCAGATTTCTTTTGATTTGGTCAGTTGTCCTTGTGCTATTTTCTCTATGCAGTTTCTGTGTCATGTACATCACTGAATACAGTTGTTTTTTTATTTTGTGTAAAAAGCAAAAACAGATCAGCCCTATGAAACTGAACTGTATGGGGGCGACATGAATGAAACACGAGAACTGATTTTAGCCAACTCTTTTCTAATGGTAACCTCTAAAGATAGCAGGTAAAACATCGTTCTTACTTTCCCAACTGTGAATGTCTCCTCAGCCATGAAACGTTTTCCATCCCATACTGCACAGCCTCCCCGTAGGTCAGAGACGGCCTGTTTATCCTGGACGGGGAAACAAATTCACACAAGTGTCACTAAATTCGTCTGTTTGGATACAATTCTCTCTTTGGGGAATAAACAGTACCTCTGAACACAGATCTCATTCTGCATTACTATTTAGATATTATGTATGTTTTCAATGGCTATTTATTCACAGAGGGGGTTGTTTGTTTATTTGTTTTCCCTTTTTCAGCACCATCACGCATCTTAGTAACACAGTTATGGAAATTCTCACATATTTGAGGCTGCCTAGTAAAAAGCAGAATAAACACAAAAATGAGAATTTAAAAATGTCCTTTGCAGTGAAGTAAGATCAGATAAGATGACATTATGAAACGATAAACTACCAGTAAAGTTTTTCTTTTAAAAAGGAGGAAGTGATGACTGACTCTGCAATAGAGACACATCAAAAACAGGAAGAGCAGCATTTTTCCCATGAGCATTTCTTCCCTATATTTCTCAGATTGATATGTGACTTTGTTTCGTAGAATCTATATCTGAGGCTTGCTGTAGAAGCTCGTCATTCATGCTCTCTATCCGCTTTTAATCCTCTTTAGCGTGGCAGGGCGCATGTCCCCTGCATGAACAGGGCAAAGGGCGGGAGACACAGTGGACGGGCGGGTTGGCAGCACCAACTGCAACACACACACAAACTAATGGACATTTGATAAGTTAAAGTGTGTTAATCACCTCAGCTGTCACACACCAACAGCTGTAAAACAGATAACGGGTCATTCCTGGGGTTTTACTCCCTCATTTGTTCAGTTACGCTTCTGATTGGTGGAGCTGATCACAGGTCAGTTACATTATGTCTGGTGTGTGGATCTGACAAAAGCCTCAAGTGTGTGTACACTCCAAAACTCTGTGCTCATATGCCGTTGATTACAAAGCAGAAAAGGTTGGAGAGACACACTTAAATAGAGTGTAATCTTTCAGCCGGCGACCAAAAAAAAAAAAAAAAAAAAAAAACAAGTCACTGTTTGCAAAGTGGACAGCAAAGTAAATAAAGGACAATGAGGAAGAGTAAAAGCTGTGGTTTCACAGCACATACAGCGTTTGGCACAAACAAGCCAGAGCAGACTTGCTGCGAGAAAATGGAGGTAGAGACAAGAAATTATCTTCAGGCTCCGTTTTGGAAACAAACAATTGCAACTGCATCTACAGGTGAAGAATTATTAAAGGTAAAACACAGTGGACCTGATTTATCTCAACCTGTCTTTTCTCCGTCTAGTTTAGTAAGAAAACATTCAACATTATTCTACATTTCCCAAAAACACTTTACCCACAATACCTTACTTAAGGCAACAACGTTGTGGCTGCATTTCCTTGTGGTGTATTAATACTTGCTATTTGCTTTGTCAGGAGGAGCTGACATTTTATGCAACTGACTGATTTCAGAGAGCTGGAATGTCAATATCTGTTATTTAACTCCATTTTAGCTGCTGGAAGTAATTTACCATGACAGAAATCCAGTGCAGACAGTAGTTTTGAAGGTACTTACTTTACACTGAGGTGGTGGGAACATTTCACCAGCAGCCTCATACAGTGGACTGCTATAACACCCATACACAGCAGGCTGATGGGCCCGAGCTGGGGGGGGGGAGAGAGAGAGAATCAGATGATTCATTTATTTAATCTTCGCATCTTCACATGATTATTTGAGCCCAATATCAAATCAAAAGATTAAATGACACATTTCATGTTGTTGCAAGTTTACAATGCAATAATAAAACATGCTGTTAAGTATGAATGTGTCCTGTGAGCTGAATTGAAGAGAGTTCAGTGTAATTAAAGACACATGTGTGTCAAAATAACTACATTAATAATTAGTGAATGACTAAGAAGGCCTAAGAAGCTGCTGTCTAAAGCTGCAAGGCTTTGTGGATTAAGGGATCAAAAGAAAGCAAATCTGCAAGTTTTTCTTAATCTAATTCTTCAAATCAAAAAATCTGCCAAAACTATAATACTTCTTGGTTTTAAGTGATGATAAACTGAAAATTATTGGGCTCTGGACTTCTCTAGAATATTGTGATGGGGAGTTCTCTAATGTTTTAAGCTTAATAATTAATACATTTATAGTTCAGAGAGGAAAAACAATTGGCAGTAGGCAGCAAGGATAATTGTTAGCTGCAGCCACGCCCTTATCTCAGCCATTGCAGTAAAATTTTTACATTTACATATTTTTGTTATCACTTTTCTTTCACAATCTACACGATCAGTCAAGTGCAATTAAAATGAATTACTTTAGCACCGGCCTTCACTGCATCAGTATGACATCAGCCCTCATCTACTGTTACCAGCTTAGTAAGCAGTACAACAGGGACAGTGGAAGCTTAATCATGAAGGTCAACAGAATGGCTCTTTTCATTTTCGAACACAGCGAGAATCATTTTTATCTCGTCATGCAACTAATCCAACCACAATGTTTCACTTTGGTACAACATGTAAATGTTTTCACATCGCATGACAGAAGTACCAGAGAAACATTTTTATTCAGACACCAAAAACTACTGCCGTTAATTAAAGTGCATTTTCTTCAACTTTGTCCTTTTTTTAGGTTGACACATTATTTATTTATTCATGAATACAATTCCCCTGTTGTTGCTCGCCCCTGCTCGAGTGCTTTACCAGACACCAAATAAAAAAGGTGACAAAATGGTAACTGTACATTCTTCATCTTATTCAGACTGCAACACCCGCCTGACCACAACCGTATCGCGCAATGAATATCTGACACAAACAGAGCAGAATCTAATTTTGTGTCTCCAGACCCGTCATGAGACCTGGCGTGATCAGATAATAAAATAATCAGCATGCTTACCACCAGGCCTGCATTCTTGACAGCCAGAGGCAGCCCCAGCAGCCCCGTACCGATGTTCCCTTTCAACAGGTGGATAAGAGTCTGACAAAAACTGAACAAGGAAAAAAAAAAGTTACATCTGCATTAAAACAAGGACAACAACATTTCTTATTACATTTACAAACCATTTAGAATAAAACTGACTGTTGAGTGCTCATCAGATTTTTACAACACTTACGAGGTTCCCGTCCGTTCTCCAATTCTCTCGTAGTTACGTTGGGGTCTGGAGGGTCCAGGCGGAGAGGGACAAAGCGCATCCATCTCTGAGGGATTTTGGTCAGAGAAGAAAGAACCTGAGGTGAAGGAGAGAGGAGAGTTAAAAATGTGAATAAGTAAGTGAGGACCCTGTGTTGAACGCCACGGCACACTGAAGGGCTCCAAGACTGAGATTTTCTAAGTAATAACATTATCAAGGAGTAGATTTGGATGTAAAGTTAAAGCTACTTTCAGTTGGCTATTTTACGTGTTTTTCAGTAGGAATATACACAAGACTATTGTAGGAAGGGCTGGGCAATATGGCCTATAAAATACACTGCAAGATACTATACATCTCAATATAGTCAATTTGCTCTGCAGTGAAAACAACAGGTAGCTTCAATAATGCCAAGTGTGTTATATTTCAGTGCAAACAGGACACGAGGTAAAGTTGAGCAAACAAAGGTAACTTTAATAACTTACTGGAGGTGGTAACAGAAGCAGACAGGATAACACAAAATAACTAAAAAAGGTGGCTGAGGAGTCCAGGTAAAAACAAGCCGAGTGCAACAAACAAAAGAGCAAAGCAGGAACACGGAGAGAAACAAAGGACTGCAACAACGGACACAGATAACCTGAGAACTGGAAGAGGGGAAACACCCAGGCTAAGTACACAAAGACCTGGTTAACTAATGAGGTTGGTTAAACAGGTTGCACAGAAAAAAGGCGGGGAGAAAGAAAAGGGCTGGGGGTAAAGGTAACCAAAAAAGACACATGAGGAAAGACAAAATAAAACAAAAAAATAAAGTCAAAGTGAGCAAGAAGGTCAGTGAGTTTGGGAATGGCCGTATTTTATGATTAGGACGTCTTGTTTTACTGCAGAGCAAAGTGACACGGCACTCGCCAACCTCACCACAGGGAGCGACGCCTGTAACCGTGATAACTGTACACACCAAAAGGATGACAGAGTGAGGATTTCTGGCACAACTACCGCTAAGTGCAAGATGCATGGAGAAGGGAAACATGTCTGAAGAGGTCAAAACTCCAGTAAACACTTGTGGTATAAGAAACAACATTGTTATGAGACCACGTTTCTTTCTTGTGTCCTTCATCGGGGTCATCATGAAACCATAAAACACATCACAAACAACAATTAGCCTTATAGAGAGCCTAAGTCCCTCCCCTTGGTGGATCACCATGGGACCTTACTTCGGAAAAAATACATATGGTAGTCGATGGCAAGAGACAACAAATTTTCTGATCCCGAATTGTGCCCTGAATTACACATAAAATATATATTTGAAAGTCAACAAAGTCGCAGTTTGATGTTAAACTGTTGACATCAGATTTGATTGGAATATAATGAAAAGTACAGGCACTGATTGACCATTAAAAAAACAGCTTCTTTTGTGCGGGAGTTTAATGAAGAGACACGCGATAAAAGATCATTACAAATTTAATAAACACACTGGATAGCCAGCATCAACCAAAGTTCGCGACAGTTTCCCAGAAGCAGGCGTGCATGCGCAGGTTTGTTTGGGTCAATGACAAAACGCTGGAAGACAACGGTGCGGAGATGTGTCAATCTAAAGTCCTGTTGTATTTTAGTTTTTGTGAGGGAGCTGAGGGAGTCTTGATTGAAGAAAATGACCTTGTAGCGAACGCAGGGTGAGTTAACTTTTAGCTTTGGTTTGTCTCTCTGACTTGCTAACAGCTTGTAAACTGATGCTCTCAGTGTTAGCTGCGCTTGTAAAGACGCTACACGTTGTTCTGCTGCTGTATGCACACGATAACACGTTACGCAGTTTACTCAACCAACCAGCATCTCTTGTTCATTTTAACAATCAAGCAGCTATCAAATTAATTGTAAAAGTGTGAGAACAGGAGAAACGCTTCAGACTCCTCTGTATTTATGTCAGTTGTTGGGCAACTTTGCATCATTGCAACTACTATCACTGTCTTCTAAGATTTGTTTGCTTCATGTGTGCAAGTTGTCATTGCATTACCTATAGAATATAAAATATAATATCTTGATAATGTTAGATGGTTTTCATACGTTTACAAAAAATATTGGCTGTTATATTAATGTTTATGCAAACAAAATGGCATTTTTATTTGTAGTGTTCGATAAATAAAACTCAATGCTGTGATAATACTGATAACCGTGATAATTTTGGTCACTATAAAATCGTGATTTGACATTTCATCCTTAGTAGATAGCATTACCGCTCTAACACGTTGGTGACATATAGTGTAGATGTAGTTCACTGAACGGTTTTCACACAAAACGAAATGTTACTTTATTGTTTTACGTTACGTTTTCGTTTTGTTGGACAAGATTACCTTTTAAATTGACAAAGATCATGTGTTTAATTCAGGGCACAGATCAAAACAGGATAAAAACATAAGTTGTCTCTCGCCGTTGACTATTGTACATTTTTCCCCCCCAAAATAAGACCCCATGGGGAGGAAGCAAGGGACTTTGGCACTCTATAACTGCTTAAAACTGAAGCGTGTATGTTTGTCTAAAAATATCTGGAATGAAAATCCAGTGCCAACATTATTATTGATTGCTTTATGGTTTCCAGTAACGTTAGTTTCATCAGAATGTAACACTGGTCTCCAAGAACCGGACTAACTGCACATAAAAGATCTCATGACTTTTCAAGTCACGGTGACCTCATTTCTGAAAATCTCTCCTGTAAATCAGCTGACTTTAATAAACGCAGGAGAAAAATTCTACGTAATCCCATGTCTTGGAAGAAGACACAGAAGACAAAAAGCCCCGCAGCTGTACTCAGCCACTGCTGCCTGCATGTTGAGAGCTGTGTTTAATTATTTGAAACTGCTTTTACCAAACAGACTGCTGGTCTTCAGTGGAGTTTACTTTAGTCGCTCGTGACTGAAGTAGAGAGGAACTATCAGTGCATATTTACTGCATATTTTAGTGGAGGTGGGAAGAAGAGAAAAGTATTTGTTGCTGCATCAGCAGGCAGAATGTTTACTCACTAATACTGGAGTGAAACTGAGGCCCATCTTTTAATCGCACAGCCTTAAAAAAAAAAAAAAAAAAAAAAAAACTCTTTGGCATGAATGTTGGCCCCTCTGGACTACTACACAACAAGCGTTCTTTTCAAGCATCCCAGGTTCAATTTAGTTCAGTAGAGCTTGTATTTTAATGCACCGTGCAATCACTATTTTCAAAAATCTGAATGACAGAATAGAAATAAAATATAAATCATTTAAAAAGATGGCTGCATTTCATTTCAAGAATTTTCTCTTGGAGTTGCTCTATGGAGAAGAGATATTTTAGTTATTTTACTTCACGGAGTAAATAAATCATAAATAAATACTGTACTTTTCTCACGACATGTTGAACATTTCATTTGTTGTTGTGACCTCCTGCCAAACAAGACACCAGCTGTGCCAAAAAAAATGAAAGCTGCTTTGATGATTCAGTCTACCTGCCAACTGGCATTACATATAATCCCACCGCGTCCATGTATCCACTTTATATTTATACTGCATTTCCACACCCATCTCTTTCATGTTTTTAAACACCATGTTAAAAACAGTGCACTTCATTTTCATACCTTCACCACGGACGTCTACGTCGCTGGAGGCCATCATGTTAGGTCAGGTGGACGGCTGGGTGTCGTCTCTCCCAGCCGCACAGATCCTAATGCTGGGAGGTCAGGGAGCCCTGCATTGACAGCTACCCGCTGCAAAACACAGAGAGCAATTCAGTAATGGATTTGATGACTATAAATCCATTATGAACTTCACACTGAAAGGAAGTTACAGTGACAGATCAGTGACCTTCAATTAATATTTGCAAATTAAACATTCAAAGTGAATTGGACTCTCTATAGTGGAGAAGCATGTTGGCATTTTTTGCTCGAAAACTAATTACTTTTCTGTCAACTGACTAATCACTTAATAAAAGCAGCTCTAATCATGATGATATGGTAAATCAATCAATCAATCAACAAACAGATAATCCATCAAATGAAATACCGGACAACTAAAGACTTCTCACATTGTTGCAAACATTTTTAAAATAACGGTAGATATATTTATGCATTTCACTGTTTCCCCCCCAGACTATCGAAATATCAATAAAAAATAATTAGAACATCTGAAACTTCTTTGCAATGTTTAGCCTCCTATCGCAGTGTATGTTTTTTGTTTAATCTGTTGATTCCATTTTATTATAATAATAAAGACAATTTAATCAGTAATCAAACAAAGCCCAAAACTGTGTTTGCAAGGAAATGTTTTTAAAATTACAAAAAAACTACAGCAAAAAGCTTCCCGGTCAGTGATAATACAAATGAAAAAGAATTTCAACGATCATTGATTAAAATCGATGAGTGGACTGACAAATTTGCTTCTCAAATGTGACAATTTGCTGCTTTTTTCTATTTTATATCAGCATAAATTGAATCGTCTTTGGATTTTGGACAAAAGGAGACATCCAAAGATGCTACGCTGGACTCTAACTTTTCAGTGTAATTTTTCACAATTGTCTCGAATTGTATAAATCAAACAATTGATTGTTTGAGAAAATAACTGGCAGATGGAAGAAGCAACGCTCAAGAGCCCAACCGATATGGGACTTTTGAGACCAAATTTATGGGGGAACAACTCACAGATTACTGATATGGCAGTCGATATTTAACACTTTTGAACTGGAATGAAAATGTTCTCAGTGGACTGTGCACCGATTTTGCACCAATGACTATGCAAAGATACTCAGAAGCCTGCTTTCTCAAACAAATGACTTTATTAAAAGGTTATTTCTGTTATATTCTTTAACATGTTTATTGTCAATCAATTTGAGAAACGAACATAGAGAAAATAAACTTCAGTACTGTACATTCAATATCAGTCAATTGCAGAAGTATCAGAAACATTGAACTTAATACTCAAAGTCGACTACCGAGTTGCAGAATGATGAAGAGATGCTCTGGTGGTGTTTTCCTTTCAGTCTGCTACGTTACTGATTGTACTGACAAACTACAGCTGGCTAGCTGCTTCCCGAACACAGCATGTGATAAGCATGAGTGACGTGATGGTTGTGAGGGACAGGGTTATATTAGTGTTATACTGAAGGGGGAAATTATGGCTTCATTTTTTATTAGCTTTCCAGAAATGTATTTCACATACTGGTTAGCCACTTACCACAAAGACACCGCTTTGTGAGCACACTGCATATCTGAGGACATTATGCACTGATCAGATATGATACCAATATGTCTGTAAGTATTAAAATCATTGCTCTGATATTTTAGGTTTTAATTTGTTCTTTGCTGCTATTAAAAAAGAAAAAGAAAAAAAAAAGGGGGTGTTTCATGTCATAATTGACAGCTTACTCACGATTGATTCGGCCAGGTGCACATGCAGGACCTCGATACCACGGCTCCAAACATGATCACTATGGACGCAGATAATGACTCTAAAAGCACAAGATGGCAGCGCCAGTATCCGAGATATTTTGGCGTCATTTTTGTAGAATGAGAGGAAGCGGCAGTGCGTCGTCCATCTTTAAATACAGTCTATGGTTGGACTCTAGTCGTGACCAGCTTAAGGACTGACAGGCCGATGTGTTGGATGGTTTTTGAGCGAGGCACAAAGCCATGTTGTTACATAAGAGCAGCATAAGTGCTGTTAGCTCAAACAGGGTGTTAGAGAACATCTTCATGACCTGCGGTGTGTTGCTGCTGCTTCTAATCCAATGTACAACCTGCTGATTTCATTGCCATGAGGACACTTCATGTCTAGTGTCAACACTTAATCTCCTTGTTACAGCGTTGTTGTTTATAGTACAATGAGTCCAGAACAACTTGTGGAACTTAACTCTCTGTTTCTTAAGGAAATTACAATATGGATGTCTTCCCAAACGAGACCACCCTACCTGCATAAGTTTTAAAAGGCGATGGATTTATCCCTCATCTACCTTCTATTGTCACCGCAAACTACTGTTTCTTTAAACTCTTTAACATGTTTTAAAGAAAAACAACAAGGACTCTCGGGTGTCCAAAAAGAGTGAAAATGTGTCGTGGTAGTTCCTCTTGGGGTTGAGGAGTCGTTGCTCAGCAGTGGTTCAATGCAAAAAAGAAGTGCGACTTTCACAGCAACTACAATGTGTCAGCAGGCCAAAGTGTCTCAATTATGAACTACTCAGCAATTTTCACAATATGCTGTGAAACACGAGCACTAAAGCAAGAACAGCAAGCAACATGGTGTCTTTGTGGCTCAAGCACTTTTTACTGATGTGTTCATTACTTTTCAATAATATAAAAAAAAAATCTCTTAAAAATATCTTGATGTGTAAGCCACAAAGACTAAAGAAAAATAAAAACTTTCAGCAAAGGCCAATATTACATTTAAGATCGAGAGATAAATACTAAATCTTTACTTTTGATGTTGCACTTTTTTAAATTCCACTTGCTAGGTTAAATATCATCATTTTAAATTATTCTTTTAAGCGCCAACCTCTGTTAGAAATAATAAAAAGTTTTTTTACAGAGAGGAAATGTGTTTTTGTTGTTGTTTTTTTTGATAATTTTGTATGTCAGGAAAACAACAAACAAAACACTAAAACAAAAATGACCAACCAACACTCAAGTCCCCAAAATATTAAATGTACATTGTGATGAAACAGAAAAAAAAAGAAAAAATTGCAAATAATTTTCTCTTGAGAAAAAAAATAGTTGCAGATACACTTTCTGTCGATTCAATAATCAGTTTTGTATTAAAACCCCAATAAACAAAGTTTGGAGGAAGTATTCTTTCCAGTGTCCTCACATCAACACTGTGACAAGAGTTCCCTTTATTCAGTAAAGTTAAAAGCCGGTGAGTCAAACTACATTAGGTCAGTGCAATAAATGCAACTAACAGTTACATAAAAAAGGTCTGCACGATAATATTAAAATATCGGACGCAGCTTGCAGTGTGTTTACAGATGATAAGCTAACACACAGCGCATCCCTTGTTTGTCCGAGGTGTGGCTAAGCACCAAATCAACCGTCTCATTATTTTAACTAATCTTTGAGTGTCTGTATCTCCTTCAGTAGACCGGGTGAGAAAACCGGGTACAAACAACAGGCGCAAGGAAACAACAACATCCAACACGCTTAATGTCATAAAGCAGATAAACGGGGGAACAAACGGGCGAGTTTCACACAGAAGGGACTCAAATAGCGAGAAAGGAAGACGTGAGCTAAAATTGGATTTCCTAGCGTTAGGTTAGATGTTTTAACGAGAAGACAGCTACACGCTAGTAACACTGCGCCTTGATTGGAAACACAACACTTCATTTTTGGTTCGGCTCTACGCAGCCAGCAGCTTAAGCTAACGTTATGTGTCATCCTAGAGGTTAGCTTAGCTATATGTCCCGATGCCATCTTTGTGTACGTAAACACCCAGCTCAGGACACGAACACGCACCTACCTCGGAGAAACCTCGCGTTCTGCCTCCTCTCTGGTTCTCTGGTTGGCTTTTCCTAGAGGGCTAAACTCGCCGCAGACTCCTTCTTTGAACCATGTCTGGTTGAACGCGGCGCGATATCACTGCACAGATTGAAGTCGGTTCGACTCTCGGCGTCAAAAGACGCATCGGTGTGGTCACGTGACCCGGCCGATGACTTTTTAAGGTCATTTATTTTACGAACTAATGGTAATAACGCCAAATGTAATCGACTTTCAGCGTTAAATGTAGTCATAATAATACATTTATGATAAAAAAAAATCTTTATTTCTTGAGAAAACTGACGAGCTTTTGTTTTGAAAGAATGTTGCGTATTGGAAGCGCTTGGTTTGCGCCCGGGGGCGGTCCGACTACGTTGAGGTTAAATTTTTAGGATATCCACGCAGTTTGTCTTTTACGTGACCTCTATTTCTCTGGTATAATATGCTATAGTTAATAAGTAAAATAGGCTACATAACACAAAGGGTTTTGAAATGTGCAAAAAAAAGAGAAACGTCAAGTCAAACCACCCGGGTGAGCGCTTGCTGTGTGTCAAGTTAGCCAAAATTGCTTCAGGATCAAAATGAAGCGGGTTTATACAGTCTAAGGTTTATGTTTATAATGTCTATACAAATTATGTATGTCCTCTTTTGTTTGTATTTGGTTTTATACTTTATACCCCAAAAAACACTGCGACAAAAAACAAAAATGTTTGTCTACAAATGAATTTTGCTCCGTTTTTCAAACCGGAAATCCGGTTGCTGTTTGACGCTAGCTTCACGCTAGCCAGGTAGTTTTCACAGTTACTTGCAACGTTTGCAAATTAGTCAGAGGCAAAAGTCCACACTGGTCTGAAAGCAAGGTTGCGCCACATCACTTCAACATGACCGTAAGTTATGGCCGTTATTTTAGCTTTAATTAAGTTTTAGTGCGAATCACAGATAGCATTTCCTCTTTGGTTTGCTAAGTAACTTAGCTGCAAGCTAGTTGGCTCAGATAGCTACAAGTTAATCGCTTCAATTGGTAACACGGTTAGAGGCCAAGTAGTAGAAACTGAGCAATAACGTTAGCAGAATTAAATCTTTTTTAATCCAGTGCAATGAGAGGTAGCTGCAACGCCACAGTTAGATCAATGGTTGTAATGAAACATGAATTGTTTATCTGTGTGCTACAACATCATTACTGCCACAAAATGCAGTGTCAGCGATACAATATGATAAAACCACTTCTGTCTCTAACAGAAGCACGAGTTTGAGGTGGCGATGACATGCGAGGGATGCTCAGGAGCTGTTACCAGAGTCCTCAACAAGCTGGGAGGTGAGACTGAAAGGTCCTGTCAGTTTTATTCCACCCTGGGTGCAAGAAGAAGAGACACTCAGAGTGTCTACATGTTCTTCTAACCTTTGATTTCTCTCTGTTTATGTAATAGATCAATATGACAAGCATGTATCGTATGTCTGTGTAGTTTGTACTGGAATTTCATGTATGTACTGGAAGTGATCACAATAATTCTTGCACTGACAAAAGGCTGGACAATATGGCCAAAAATATAAAAACTATACTATAACTAAACTAAACTATAAAAAAGTCTTATCATTTGATATTGATAATTATAACTCTAAATGTCAAATCATTATTTCTGTCAGTTTAAAAGGCTGATTTTTGCTCCTGAGTGAAAGTGGAAGATGGTTAATTGTGGTATTAAACTGTTCTTTATGGTCACAACAAACACTTGATGCCAAATAGTGAATCACTTTACAAATCTGATGTAGAACATTCAATACAATTATGATAAAATACTTTTTCAACAAATATGCATGAGTAAAATTAAGTAAAATCTTTTTTTCAGTCCCTTTCCTTAACAAAATAAATAAAAAATTAAGTGCTAGCCTGATTCTTCCATGATTCAAATCAAATAAATCAAACATTTATGGAACATTTGTTATTTTAAGGAAAATTATATCGCTATATTTATCATTATTGTTTTACTGCCCAGCCCTACACTGACGAGATCAAATGCCTACAGACAGACTTAATAAGTGAAATTCCTTGATGTTCAAACCCAATATGTAAAGATATAGGTAATATGTGCACAAATGATCAGCTATCAACATGCTTTGGTCGACAAATACTGGTGTTGACCTTAAATAAATTATAGCTTTTAAAGCTTGTAATTGGTGCCCCTCTTTCAAACCAATTTTATATATTTTTTAATTTAGAATCAGCTTTATTGCCAGGTGTACACATACGAGGAATTTGACTCTGGATTGTACATTGCTCACGATATTCTTACTCATACAAAATCACAATTCTATAAATAAAATAAAATCAGACACAGAGTTCAGTGTAGACAACAATAGTGTCCATTGATAACTCATATATTTAGGTTACATTATGGAAGTCAGGCAATGTATGTTTATATATTTGAAATTGTTACAGTATTAAATTGATATTTAACAAAGCAGGTGATCAATTATTTAAAGAAATAGTTTTAAAAAATCCAAATGAAACCCTCTCCTGTATTCTTTCCCAGATAATAAGTGAAAGTAAAAGTGCTGTTTAAAGGCAGCTTGCATCACACCCCGTGACTTCTTTGTCTCTGAACGTTGAGTCAGCTAATATGTCACCTGATGCGGTTATACTTAAAAAAAAAAGTTTCTTTGGCTTAGTCATTAAAATGTTGAGTGCCTACATGTATTTCTGTTTCTCGGGCTCACACCAGTCTGGGTAGTGAGTGACATTACAACGAGAAAGTTTCTCTGCCCTTAAAGTAAATACCTTCCTTCAGATCCTCTTACACTGTCAGGTGATGATCTCATCAATTTGTGATGGCAAATTAATGAAAAAATTTAGTTTGTTGGAGAACTGGAGCCAGAAATATAACATATAACCAACATTGAATTACAGTGTCTTGTGGTGAATCTTGTCCATCGCTTTGTGAGTGTTGTGCCGGGAACTGCGCGGCGCCTTCAGTGATGTTACGTCTTGCTATTAAACACAAAGTGCTTCTTTGTTTTCTGTGCTCCCAGATGTGAAGTTTGAGATCGACCTGCCTAAGAAACTGGTTTGGATCGAGTCCGACAAAGATGTGGACGTTCTCATGGAGACACTGAAGAAATGCGGAAAGGAGGTCAAGTACAACGGCCCCAAATGAAGGAAACTGCTTCATGTAGAACAGGTGACACGGTCAGAATCAAGTCCACATAGATTTTCCCATGAGTTTTTTTCTGACCACCACAAATGATTCCTGAATCAGAGGACAAAAAAACTATTGATCTTTCTCTCTCTGTAACTGTACATTTAATCTAAATATATATATAAATGCTAGATATAGCATATTAGTCCTGCAAGTCACAACTATCTTTATTAGTAATTGATCAGTTATGGATATATAAATATAATGTCATGTACTTCTTCTGTGTATTTTCTACCTTAGAAAATCATTGCTGCTGATGTAAGTGAAGTATGCTGGAATTCAAGTTCTGTACTTGTTAGGAAAAGTCTGGTGGACCCTAAGTTACCCTGATTAGATGCAAAAAAAAAAAAACCTCCACACCTCCAGGCTCACACGCACAAAATACGACACAGATCTTCTCTGTGTTGGGATTTACAAGGCTGGAAATGGCAAGCAATGTTTGGAGAATGACTCAAAGATCGTAATGTCCATCTGTGAAGCGCCATTTACGTGCAGCGCTATACTCGCCATCTGCCCGCCTAATAGTGTTTGTCCTCCATGTGATGGAGGAAAAGGTAAAAAGGTTATGATGTTGTTGGTTCTCCTCCACATTCACAGTGGCCTGGTCTCAAGAATCACTCTATATAAGCTTTCTCATTCAGTATACTGATTTACAGACCTGTATTCTGAGAGGGAAAATATGATTTATTATGTTTTGTGTTACTTTCAGATCATTTTGTTTGATAAGTAACAGACTGGGATGAGGCAGGGCTGTGCGGTGACGCCATATACGTTTTTGTTTACAAACCTCAGCAGTAAAATCAAAAAACATCCAGACATACAACTGGAGATTTGAAGCATGGTTGCCATTTTAATGTAATTATGTATGTAACCTGTTTGTGTGAAGATCACCTCAAGTCACTACCAAACTTCCTGTTACACGATTGAAGTATTCCCCGTACAACACACTGCAGACTATTGCCTATATTTGCCGGAACCTTAACTCAGTATTATTGCATCTGTTGGATTTGACATAGTCATTGTTTCAAAGCTCCATGTATAAAACTGTCTGTACCAAGGAGGAAAACTCAGTCTGTCTTCATCCCTTCAGGGACCATCTCTGCTGGACTTGATTTTGTAAATGCGCTTTCTTTTACCTTCATCACAGTTTACACTACAATAATCCACTAACACCACGGGACAAATATATCATGATAATTACTGACAGATATCTTTGTTTTCCCTTAACAGCGTGAATCCCTTGTTGTTATTCACTCATTATATTTGTTAATTTGAGGAAAAACATAACCCCCTTCTCCTGGGCTTTATAACTGTCTGCCTTGATATGTTGTGTACGCAGAGGGGAAATAAAGTCTGCCCCAGTATGTCAGTGTACTGTTTTTTTATTTCTTTTACTAGTAGTAATACTCATTTAAAGTGTATTGATAATAAACATTTACTAAAAACAATTTATCAGCCACTTTCTATAAACTTACAGTTTCTATACAGGAATCACAGACAGTCTTAGTTAAGTTGGTATTTTCTGTCTGTAGGAACATCCGCATGTCTATCCTAATAGAAAATGATAAAAGAGTACTTATTTGCATCCGTTACATAAGTTTGCATGGTCAAAAATCATGTCTGTATAACTAATGACTTCATATTCAAGGAGACATTTCTTTGTTTCACATTATAAATTTAAAAAATGTGTTTTTGAGATGTAGACAAACACCACCTTTCTGATATTAGAAGTTGTTGCAACAATTCATTTGTGTTTTGTCAGTATAATTTTCTGTAAATTACTACATTAATTGTATTTGTTCTCTCTGCAGCAACCCGTACTATCCTGAAAGCATCAGAAAGCCAGATGTGTGCGCTCCCTCCTGTTTGAGATCTTACAAAAAATAGCTTTTTGCTCAAGTTTGCAGTCTTTTACCACATTTCCGGCTGTTTGGATAGAAAGTATGT